GGACCTGGTGATCTAGTCTTGTTTGCCGTGGGTCATCGAGCATCGGTAAATAAAACTCTGGATAGGCTTCGACTATATGTAGCTAATGAACTGGGTTTGGTTGACCATGTAAGTTCGTGGCTCCTATATTTTGATTAGTTTTATGCAAAGTGTTTCCATTGTCACTGATTTATCTTTTTCTGGCTACTCAGTCTCGGCATTCAATTTTGTGGGTGACYGATTTCCCAATGTTTGAATGGAATGATCTAGAGCAACGACTCGAGGTTTGACTCCATATTATTTCGACCCCAATTCTGCACACCCAGTGAAAATGGAGTTTTTTAAATTCTTTTTGACTTTTAATTGTGTAGATGTACTTTTTTTCCTGCAGGCCCTGCACCACCCTTTTACAGCTCCAAACCCTGAAGACGTTGATGATCTGCCCTCTGCTCGTGCTTTAGCTTATGATATGGTCTACAACGGAGTAGAGGTAGCTTCTATGACTCCATTTTTTTAAATTAAAAAAATTGAGAAACCAAGCTTTCATTTAAAAATAAAAGGAAAGAATACAATGGCAAATTAAAAAAGGAAAAACCACCTGCATAGAGAAAAACATTGTGTTGCATATTTAAAAGGGTTTGTACTATCTCTAAAATGGTTGAGAATAAGAGATAAAAAAGGTAATCGTGAAAATTCTTGCTTTTAAGAATACATTGTGTTGCATATTTGAAGGGGTTTGTACTATCTCTACAGCTTACTCCCCCTACTCCCGAGATAAGTATTCTCTTCTTAAGCTAAAATAGTCTTCATTACTTTTGATGCTGTAGATTGGTGGAGGGAGTTTGAGAATTCATAAACGTGAAGTTCAAGAGAAGGTTTTGAAGATTGTGGGAATCTCTCCTGAACAGGTAAGTTCAAGTTACAGGGTTAATCTACTGTACTTTATGGTGGCGTCATGTTTCGGCACTGTCTACTATATCTTTTGGTGAAATGACTAGTGCTAAAATTTGAAGAGTATGATACTCTTACCACAGTTGATTTACATGATTCTCTATGATGGGTATAAAACACAAACCGATCTTGGTGAACCAAATCTAGTAAGTTCTTTTTGGTTACTAAATTGACCTAATTGACAATCATCATGACTTGCTCATTAGTCCAAAGGGACTAGGGTGAAGCGAGAGAGAATAGGTTCAAACCTCATGATGACTACCTTAGGAAGTAATTTCTATGTGTTTTCCGGCACCAAATGTTGTAGGGTCAAACGGCTGCCCTGTGAGATTAGTCGAGGTGCGCATAAGCTGGCCTGGACACTCACGAATAAAAAAAAGACCTAATTGACCACACTCGAACAAAACCCATATAATCGTTTCCGTTAGTCTTAATTATATTAATATATAAAATTATATATTAACTTAAGTGGCAGTTAAATGTTTACGTTTTTTTTTTCCGTAATTAATTAATCAATACAATTATAAACCAAGCCGGTCTGGTTCAGCCCTCCCTCAATGACCGATTTGGTACACCCCGAATAATTTATGGGATTGAACCGATTGGTTCAGCTGGCCTGGCCAAGATATTTTCTCCTGAAATGTTATTGGATTGATTTCAGTTGGTCTTTCAACTTGGCTTCTCCCTAATTTCGATGTGAAAATGAATGCGATACACTGTTTTCTGGCAATGTGATTCAAGTTTTTTCTCTGCCGACAATATGAATTTTGTTCTTTTCTGGATGGCAGGCAGAAGCAAAGTTTGGATATCTATTGGAGGCATTAGACATGGGTGCCCCGCCTCACGGTATGGACCATAAAAGCTCTCTTTCAATGGCTAAATTTAAAGTCATCATTATTGCTTACGAGTTAAATGCCCATTTATCTATTAGAGGTTGGGAAAATGCATTTTCACCACGCAAGTATTAAGAATATTGAAAAGGTTAAATATTCTAACTTTTCGGTTTAAACTTTTGGGCATGGTTGATTAAATATGAAATCAAAAGTAGGAGGTTTGGAGTTCAAATCTTTGCAATGCCATTTCCTCTCTAATTGATATAAATAGTTCACATATTAGGCTGTGTCAAATTTTAACATTTAGACCGACATGCGAGGAGTGTTAAGAATAAGAATATATTAAAAAGATTTAAGTATATTCTAACCTAGTGAATTAAGCTTTTAATTGTGGTGATTCAATAGTGTATTGGTTATTCTCTGACTAAATCTTGTTCTTTTCTGTTCATTTTTTCCCTTCGATTTCTTTGAGGGGAGTCTTGAAAACTTTCTTTAGATCTTTAGCCTTCGTCTCTGATGTGAGAGAACAAGATGAGGAAGAACTTCCCCTTCAAGTGATTAAGGAGAGTTTCTGCCTAGTGTTTATGTTAGATTTGTAAATTATTCGACTAATTATAAAGTAGTCAAAAATATGTTTTATTCCATCTCTATAGAAATGTTAATACAAGGACAGGAAAATCACCCCAACGGGTGGCCTTGGGGTAAGGGCTTGAAATGTTTAGAGATCTTTCAAGACCCCATCTGGAAAATTTAATTATTAAAACTGTCTGTTGTCCCCTGAGTTGGTCATGGGTGAAACTTCCTAGAAAATTAGTGAGGTGGGTCATGAGTATAATGTCGAGTTGATCCTCCGATATTTGGCTATCCCAGGTATAGCTGTGAAAATGGACCAACCTRAAATAGATGGTGTATTCTACCAATAAAGCTTTTAGTCATGGTCCTCAACTCCTCATAGTCATTAATAATCGAAATCCACCCGCCAAAATGATGTCAATAGTTTGATCCTCCATCCCACAATGTTTGAATTATAAAAGAGAGAATATACATTTTTCCAGAAAACAAAAATAAGATTTTTTTCTTTTTCGGTCTTAACTTTTTTTCCTTGGCGCAGGGGGCATTGCCTATGGGCTGGACAGATTGGTGATGTTATTAGCAGATGCAAATTCCATTAGGGATGTCATAGCTTTCCCAAAGACAACCACAGCACAATGTGCCCTCACAAAAGCTCCTTCAGAAGTGGATCCCCAGCAACTCAAAGATTTGTCATACCAGACCCAATAGTTTCCATTCAAGTGCTCGACGAGTTCGGTTCGGTTCAAATTTTAATTTAGAAAAATTATGGCTCGAGAAAACCTTTGAATCCTTGGAAAGAATTAAGATATGATGAACGGTAAATGTAAAATTTTTACAATTTAACAAAAATTTATCAAATCCCTTCGACAACAGATCGGAACTCTCCACGTCCCGATGTCGAATAAAGATCAGATTTTGAGATTCTGTCTATGAGGTTGACCTAACTTTTTGGTAATGGTTGGTTATGGGCGTTTTAGTTTTATGTCATGAACAGGTGTGTAAATTTGAAGTGTGTGGACAGACCGGTGTGTGTTTGGCTGCTTCTTTAATTTGTATTAATTTGGTTGGACGTTTTAGCTGTTTCTGATTTTGGTTCGAACAGATGATCTTCAGTTGCCAAACGAGGTACAAACATGTGGCCGCGATAATGGGTATATAAATTGATCCAGTTGTCTTTCTAAAAACAACATAAACAAAACAATATAAAGAAAAATGAGGAAATATTTATTAGGATTTTATAAATAATTGATCAATTGACACATTATTATCAATAATAATGGCTAGATCAAAACAGATGTTTTGTAGGTATATAGATTAAATTGACATTTTGAAAAATAAAGTAACAAAACACGTGTTAGTTCATGTGATACAATTCATTTTCTCTTTAAAAATTCTATCAATTGATTAAAACTGAGATAATTTATCCACTTTGTTCCAAAAACCTCGTGTATAGAAAATTTAAAAATCAAATAAACTCGAACTAAATCAAACAGCGAACAGCCATTCTAATTTATCTAATGATTTGGAAATAATTTCGATTAATTTATGAGGTATTTCACCAATGAGAAGAATGCACCAATTTCTTTAAAAGAAAAAATATATTAATTTCATATAAACAAAAAGTATTAGGAATTAACCTCTAAAAGTCAAACAGATTAATAATGTAAAAATGCTTAGGCAATAGTTGGCATATTTATAGCATAGTGATAGCATTTTCAGTTTTCTCGTTTTCATTTCATAATCCAATAAAGTTTCATGCATTTAGTGAAATGAGATTTTTTAACTCCCAAATCTTGATTCATAGTAACTTCCAACTTCCAACTCTTAATCCATTGTAACTTCTAATTAAGAAATTATTAACCCATATGCTATTTTCTCAACCTTTGGCTTTAATAATCGTTTTTTCTTCATTGAGATTTTATTAGTTTTTTTCGCTCAAATTCAATTAAAAATTTTAGTTTAAATAATATATATAATTATAAGTTGAATATTATATGAAAAGTTGACGTGGCACTGTGATATGTTATATGATTGCACATATACAAAATACTAAATTGATGTAATATGTTGCTAAAAAATTACTTACAACTTTATAAGCAATGTTAAACGACTATGTGGATTCGTCGAATCAAAATTTATTTTTCGATAATGTCATACTATATTTGTCCCAAAATCTAATTAATGAAATCTCAACGGAAAACACACTTCTAAAGAATTACTATATATGAATCATTAACAATGAAATCTACAATAATTAAGAGAGAAAGCAAAAAAAAAAAAAAAAAGAACACAAAAATTGCAATCATTCTTACGAATTATAAGTTTTTTCATCTATATATATAAATTCATGTTAAATTTCTCATGATTTTTCTAAGTAAAAATTTTGTAATGAATTTGCATCCATCATAACATTAAATTTTAAGTATTAATTTGCCAATTTTACAAAGAATGGAGATCATATATGATATCCCAAAACTAGCATTTTATTAATAACTCCAAAGTTGTCAAACTTTTTGACAACCAAATCATTTATTTTGCACAACACAAACGCCAACCAATTCATATATATATACACATAACACACATCATTCTCAACAAGAATATTTCATCTTTCCCACCAAWTTTTTTTTCTCTTCTCTACTTTTACTTTTTTCTCTCCAAAGTTCTTGAGATTTTCCAAAAGATGAGGAAGAGCAGAGGCAGGCAGAAGGTGGAGATGGTGAAGATGCCTAATGAGAGCAACCTTCAGGTAACCTTTTCGAAGCGTCGATCTGGCCTCTTCAAGAAAGCTAGTGAGTTGTGCACGCTTTGTGGTGCCGAGATTGCCATCATCGTCTTCTCGCCGGGGAAGAAGGTGTTCTCTTTCGGCCACCCTTGTGTCGAGGCTCTGATTGAACGCTTTGTGACTCGAAACCCCCCGCCGAGTTCTGGTACGCTCCAGTTGATCGAGGCTCATCGAAATGCCAATGTTCGGGAACTAAATTCGCAGCTGACACAGGTGCTGAATCAACTAGAGATGGAGCGAAAACGAGGCGAAGAGTTAAACAAGCTGCGAAAGGCAAGCCAGGTATTGAATCACTGTTAAACTAAAAAAATTGGTATTTTACATAATTCTTAATATCCTCTTAATATTAATTTAATGGATGAAATTCAATACGTTAACTATTAAATTTAAAAGTTTAAGTTGATGCGTTACATTATAATTAATCTTTTWTATATATATATATATTCTTAACTTAAGGCACAATTTTGGTGGGAGCTCCCCATCGAAGAAATGGAAATGAATCAACTCGAGCAGCTCAAGACATCGTTGGAGGAGTTGAAGAAGAATGTCACACAACATGCTGATCGGATTTTGGTTCAAACCTCAAATGGCAACCCACCACCACAATACTTCCCGACTCCGTCGCCTGCAAACCCGAACCAACAAGGCGGCGTTTTCGTCGTGGATCCAAAGAACATGATCTCTCATCTTCCCTACAACTATGGCTCCTATGGATCAAGAGGTTTCTTTTGAAGAATAAGAAGAAATGAATATTTGTTAAGCAAAATAAATCAATGATTAGTTCCAATTTGCCCACAGTTTTAGTCCAAATTTCACACAGTGATGTAACACAAGAGATCTGCCATGAAAATTCTTCTCATTATAAATTAAATGTTGTGTATTTGGTTTATGGTTATTATAGTTTTGTATTTAACCTTAAATCTTATTCTAGAACTGAACAAATTTTATCAAGATCTTATTTAATTTTTGCCACATAAATTAAAAGAAAAAATTCTCAAACAGATGGTATAAGTGATTTATCATTAAAAATTTTGAATTTGATTAAAGTAATTTTTACTAAAATTACTTTTTCTAAAAATACTTCTTAGCACACATTTGGAATTCATCTCCACAATAATTTCTACATTTTCATTTGTTTTTAATAGATTTTTAAAAATGTTTATCTTTTACTTTTTATATAATTAAACTCGTCCATTTACACTCTTTAAAGTTGTTATTTAGTGTCAGTTTTATTTATAATTAATGATGCCATTTTGGTCATTCTTTTGCCTAAAGTTTGGATTAAAAGGTAAGGTTTTCAATTTAATTGGATTTTTTTTTTTGAAATACAATTTAATTGGAAATTGTTAATTAGTGTCTAGTATTTTGTAGCATACCCACACTTAAAAGATAGGATAAAATTTTGTTAGAGCAAGTAAGATATATCAATGTTTATTTTAGGAAATTYGTCGTATTCTACACTTTTTAATTAAGAAATATAATAATTCTTAGTTGTCTTTTATAAACTACATCTAACAATTTTCTTCTAAAAAAAATACTTCTAACAATACATATCAACCTCTGTTTCAATACACGTCAAATGATCGTGTTTGTATCGATTGAGACACCAATACCAAATTTCTCTCTGAAATCATTATAATTATCATCCCACAATAAAGGAAGTATATTGAACACATTTAAAATTGATAGCATCAGATTAACGTATGAGAGATTTTTCTAGTAAAACTAGGTGCAAACATATATTTTAATTTTCTTACRTTATCACACTCGATTCTAAATTTTTTCACATTATCATGCTCGATTTGAAATATTTTCTTTATCGGGTAAAGCAAATGTGCAACACTACGACATTTTCTAAAAAAAGGGGTATAATACTATGAAAATTTATCAACTAACTGAAATAGAAGATGAGTTTTAAATGCACACAAAGAAAATTAGGAAACAAAAATGCCAACAAATTTCATACAAAGCAAACACAGCTTTGGTTACTCATTAATTATTWTTATTTTATTTTTTCTCATTCATTTTCCCAAAAGTGTTCAATTCTCCATTAATGATTATCAATGGTGTACCAATTATGGATTAATGAAAATTAAACCCCTCATCCCCAAAGTCTAGTTATAATCTTGTAACTTCCACTTTGCCAATTCACGTAATAATAATAATATAAATTATAATAAAGTTGTTTTTTTTTTAAATTAGCCTTTTATCATGAAAGAAAATTGAGAAATTATTAAAAAGAGATATTGTGTTATTCTTATAATGTTTATATATAAGTATTTTTAACTGTCTTTTTTCGTGATCATAAAAGTGACCATCACATTAAATAATTTTTGAATAAATTTAAGCAAGGATACTATAGGAAATTAGAAATCCSATGTGATTATAATCATTAAAAATTTGACCAACAAAATGTAAGTTGTCAATGTCACATAGATTGTCTACTCAAAATGGTAAGACTGCAAAATGAGATCAAATCATGACTAGCARTTAAATTTTTGGGCAATAATAAAAAAAATATTTTGGTCAATAACATATACTTTTAATTAGTTGACTGATGTTTAGATCGACGATAATTGAAGGATTATAAATATTATMTAGRATTGATATATATTTTTAAAAATAATTTATCTCATCAAATTTGGTTTCGTTATCAAAAGATAGAATTAGGGTAAGGTATATGGATACCATATTTGAGCAAGATCCAATAGATATCTTTAATTAGTTGAATGATTTTCCGATCAACGATAATCAAAGGATTATAAATATTATCTCATATTGTCACCTTTTAATTAAATCACCTTTTAATTAAATTTGGTTTCATTATTAAAAAAGGGGAATTAGGGTAAGGTATATGGAGAGTATTTAATTTATATAATTTTGCTAGGTTGGTGTGAAATAATAGAAAATATAAGCTTCCATTTTATTAATCATTTCGTTCTAAAATCTGTTTAACAATCAAACATCATAATTTCTTTATTTGTGTGTTACCAAAATATATATATATATATATATATATATATATATATTTTAAATTTATTTATAGGATAATGGTAGCATTTTCAGTTTTTTTTAATGGACCAATTAATTAAATTTCATACATCACATCAGCTGAAACATAATCTTATCCATAGTAACTTCTCTAATTATTGAGTTTGTAAGAGGACTACAAACAAAATCTCGGATTGGCTACAGAAAGAAGTGATTTATGATATATAAGAGAGGACAATTATTTCCATTGGTATGAAGCATCTTGGATGTAACCAAAAGCAAAGTCGTGAGTTCTATGCCCAAAACGGACAATATCATACCATTATGGAGATACTTGAGGGTACGAGTTGATCAAATGGACTAGTCTTTTAAATTAATTGGATTTTCCATAAATCGGCTATAATAATTTGTATTAGATTGAATTTAAAATTATTCTCAATTAGATTGTGTAGCTTAAAGTCATAGAGTGAATCCAAACATATGATCTACCAAATCAGAAGTTTTAATCACTTAACTATTGTTCAAGTTGATTAGTAGTCATAGATTTACTAAAATCAAACTTGAAGTTCTGTGGTTAAAATTTTTTTAACAATATTTACCTCTCTAGTAACCCAATAATGTTTTTGATAATTAAAAGGGAGACATGTAAAAAGAGAGTAGATATATTTTTTTTCTTTTTTTAAGTATTATTCAAAATTTTTAACTTTGAATTGAGAAAGTTGACCACTAATTATGTGTGATTAATTTTTAGTATAGGTGGAGATTTGAACACATTTTAATAGGAGAAATAGCTTAATCAGGTGCACTATTCTCGAGTTGGCTTAAAATTTTGTTTTGTTTTTCTTTATTAAATTTTGTTGTTTAATCTATGTATTACAATTTACAAAACAAAAAAAAAAAGCAACAAATTAGTAGGTAGTAAGTATTCACATTACTTTATTTCATAAATGGAAAAATAAAGTATTTAGCATTTAACTGTTCATCATTTTTAAAATCAGCGGTGAGTTGTCCAAAACCGTGTCGTACAGAAAAATAGAAAAGAAAAATAAGTGGGCAGAGAAATCCTGGAGGTGTCGTTCTGATCCTTACGCAATCAACGGGAGAAACAGAACGAGAAGAACGAGCGACTCCAGAAAACGACACATCCCAGCCGATATGTCGGACAAGAGTCCAGTCAGATCTGATCCCAGTCCCACCCCCTGAAGTGGGGCCCTGCCACGTCCGATCCTGACAGCCCCTGGCCCCGCCAACCCGATCCACACACGTGTCACCAAGCAAAACGACAACATTTCTTTGGTCGGAGATGACGTGGCCGGACGGCAGCGTACGTGCGCGGCTTTTCCAGCTCATTCTTTTTATTTAAATATTAATTCGCTTTTTCAGAATTAGAATCTCTCCCTATATATTTTTCTCTTTCATCCTTACCTGCCGGGTCAAATCGCCTGATTCCATTCTCTATGTGGGATTGCTTCCTCCCTCCGCCACGTGTCCATTTATTTTTTCAAGTTATAAATAAAATGCTTCATTAATTACACATATTACCCATTTAAGAGCCGAAATTAAACCTTTGGCATGAGATTTTTTTTTTTTTTTGATAACTTTGACATAAGATTGATACTGAGGTTATTAATGGGTTAATAGAGCGAGTTTATATTAATGTGTTAGATTTTTTGAGTGGATGGATGAAACGGACTCTGCATGGATTATTTTATCTGTTTTATAGATATTTTGAATTTATTTGTATTTTCGGTTGAAAACAAAATAAAGGTATCGGTTCATTCATTTCCTACCCTAAAAGAAAAGGTGGAAGTTACTTGAGAACGGTTATAACTCTTTATGATGAACTTGTCCTAGAAAAGTTTTGGCTCTTTTGAAAGGAATAAATCCCTTCTGAGAGTCGTCTTTCTTTTAAAAACCTTTTGTTTGTAAAGTGTTACTACTCTCTACATTTTTGGTAACTAGTTCATGCATTCCTATTTTTCATACATCTATATTAGAAAGTTTCTTTTAGCGATTATATTATAAATAGGATAAAATATATTGAAACTTATAATTCGTGATAGGAAGATTGATGTACATATTTTAAAGGGTTGTTTGTTTCGTGTCAATCTATGATTCACATGAGATGAACATCTAGATCCCAACGTTTGTTTTATAAAATTATATGATACCGAGTATCTCATAATGCCTAGGTATATCTTAAGATGTCCGTCTTAAATATTTTTTATGTCCTTTCGAAACATAAGTTTTTAAAATTCTCGTATTGAAGCTTTCTTTCATTACATTTTTCCCTTCACTAATAAACAACTCCTACTTAGTTGGTAGATTCTCATAAAATTGATATAATTATACATGAAAAAAAAAATCATAGAAATCAATATTATTCCATCAATTTTTTTTCTCATTTGATAATGTAAAAATATAATCCAATAAAAATACCATCATTTATATAATTTTCATTTGAGAAAAAAGTTCAAGATGAATTAGAATTAATAGTTAATATTAATTAATGTGTTCCACAAAATAACATTTAAATTTAATATAAATTAATTTGATAAAAGAACTATTAATTTAATAAAAACATAATAGAAATAAATTACACGAATATTCTTAAGAGTTCTTTGGAACAAATATATAATTTTTGAGCAGGTACAAATCCAATAATATAACTATTCAAATATTCTCCAACATCATTATAAATTTTCCTACAAAATAAAAATGATTATTTAAAATGTCGGACATTTATATTTCCAAACATCTAAAACAACTAATATTAACTTTCATAAACTTTCATCTACCCTACATCTTAGAATATTCTTAATGAAAAAGAAACTAACATTACTTTTCCATGGGGTTGGATAAAAAAATTCAGCCTTAATTAAATATTCAAGCTAGAAGAAGGAAAATCCTAATTTAATTTTGTCCTAATTTAATTTTGACCCATAGTAGGTAATGCATGACCTATTTTCCAAATATGGAGAAAATTAAGATTATAGAATTTAGTATTTTTTTTAAAATAAAATTCAAAATTAAAAAAAGAAGGGATATTAGTGGGACTGTGGGACCGACCTCACAGTAGCTCTGCTGTATCCAAAAACAGCCAGCTATGGCTTCCAGCCTGTTTCACCTTCATATCCTCAATGCTCCATTTCTCACTCTCTCCCTCTTAATATCTTCAAATTCTCCTCCCTCTCTCTTCCAAATTCACTCCTCACCGGAAAAAATCTCTCAATTTCTTCTTCGTTCTCCTGTTTTCCGGCGATCGCCGCCGGCTGTATAAACTTCTTCATGGATCCGTGCCCTTTCGTCCGGGTTCTCGTCGGAAACTTGGCTCTCAAGTTTCCGGTCGCTGCGAAACCGTCCTTTTCCGGCGTGCATCCGTCGAGTTCTCCGTGCTTCTGCAAAATCAAACTCAAGGATTTTCCGACGCAG